CACGAATTGAGCCGAGCTCAAGCCCGAGCCCCTCATAACTTAAACAAGCCCGAGCTGAGCTTAGCCAAGCTCGGGTCCTGCTCGGCTCGTTTACACCCCTAGTGACTCTCAATCTTATCACAACACTCAACCACCTATTCAATCTAATAGGGATCTTCATCATGTGCAACCAGATCAACCTGATGTTTCAATACAGATTTTTGCAGACCTTTGAGAACTTATTGGGTTAGCTGATATATTTATTGAGTGTTAAAATAGATTGGAAAGAGATGTTGGTATCAAACAAGAAATTGTTTTTATTAAAGAAGTAGGTCTACCTTCCTCTTGTACTATTCCATCATCAAGTGCACCACCACCACTATAACCTCCCTCAAATAATCAACAGTCCTGAAGGATGATTCTTCTACACCAAAATAACCTCGTCATACTCATGACAGTACTGCAATGGATGTCTTCAACTCCTCATCCATCACCTCCAGCTACTACTCATGTTTCCTCTGATAATGTTAGAAAGGAGAAGAGTTCAAAACCTGCATATGATGCAAGTTGCTTGTGTATCTACATATTACGATGGTGAAGCTTCTTCTATCCCTATTCAAGATGAAGAAAGATTTATGGAACTTGGATTTCTTGGTGACTCTGTTCAACATACTATTCCACTTGCTGTAGTTTTCCCATCTAGATATTAGGATGATTGGGAGTCTTAGCCTTAAGGGGAGAAACATGTCAATAATGACATTGAATCGGATGATGATCAAACCCTCTCCAAAAAGAACAAGTCTTCATCTTCAACATCTGACGCTATAAAACGCATGAAAGGTCCCAAGATCATAAAACTTTAAGAGGTTTTTGTTAAATGGGGTATGTCTAAAGAAGATGTTAGAGCTTTTGCTTGTGAGCATAATGCTGCTACACGAGGAAAAAATTTGTCTCACGAAATCAACCCCAAAAGTTACTTCTGCTAAAAACTCCTTAGTTGAACATATGGTTGCAATCAAAAACTCTAATTCTTAGGTTAACAAGAAAAAGAAAGTTGATGATATTCTCACCATGATTGATTGTACCATATATATTGATGTTCTTCATAGAAGATTCTCTCTAGATCCTCTTGTGAAAGTTAGTTTTTCCAAACCTAAATGAGAAAGAATTCTCACTATGCACTTAATCAAAAGAGATTCTAAAGATGAGTACCCTAAAAAGATCCATGTATCTGATCAGGTTAAATATGGATACAGTGAATGGTTAGGAATTCAAGCGATCATCATAATCACAACAGTATTCATGCACAAGAATCAAAGCTTGCTATCATCTTAGTAATCAACAAAGTTAGGATCTCAACTTACTTCCTCTCCTTGATGCATCCTCTATGCCTACTGCTCCTTTCTCTACTAGATCTAGAGAATGTGTAAGAATTCAAGGTTTTTACTTCCCTACGGGACTATCTACATCAACAACACTCTTCTAGTAGGTGTTATGGGTATTCAACATCTTTTCATCAGAGAAATTAATCATGGATTGTTCTATGTTAACAATAATGATCAAATGTGTTTTCAACGATCTGTTGATCTTCACAAAAACTCCTACTGAATAGATTTTTATCTGAGGCTCGAGTGTAAAGGAAAACCAGAAGCCAACTGTTATTATTGGAATGTCTCTTATGAGCTGGACAAAAAAAGAGATGAGTTGGCTTGTGATGACTTCAAGTGGATCGAGCCAAAGATTATTTCAGATGTTGAAAATGTCTGTATCGAAGATGTTATTGAATAAGTTTTAACATCATCAGATTGCTGGAGATTGTAAGGTCAAACCTTATAATCTGGTAAGTCAAATCATTACTACATTGATTACATCATCAGCTACATGTGATGTTGATCAAGCATAAAGAGAGCGAGATATTTTTATTGGTCATTAAGCTTACTGATTTGTTATCTTAGTGATAGGACATGTTTTGTATTATGTATATCTTTTATATAAGGTATTTATCATAGTTATTCAAATTCCTGATATGTAGGAATTTGAATCTAGAATAGTATTAGAACTACAATATAAGTTACACTAGGTATCAATGTAATCAACGCTTGGTGGATTCTCTCTATGTGAGAAATTTCTTTAATAAAAATTGGGTTTTAATTAAGTTTGGCATTTTTTTTATTTGCATTTCTTGATATTAATTGTTCTATTTTGACCATTCAAGAGAAAAATGGAGGTTGATTTTACATGAAGGAGGGAGTTAAGGAAGAAGATGACTCAAGATCAAACTTTGGTCACTTAGCAAACTCTTGTCCCTCCTCGAAAAAGCATTTTCAAAATTACTGAAAACTAAGTAAAATTTAATATCTTCCAAAATGCTCTATCTTCATCCTAATCATAAAATAATTAAGTCCAACTTATTAAGTTACTTAACCTTCTAGTTAATACAAAGTTTCAACCGATTGACACAATTGGCCCTTCTAGAAAAATTTAATCAATTAAATGCTAAAATCTTATTATTTTATAATTACTCAGTAACGTTAAGGTTACTATTATTATTTTACTCAATTGTTCATATTTTATTTTTCAATTAATTAGTTTATTTATTGTTAAATTTTATTTATTTTAAATTTCAAATATTTTTTTTACCGAAAAACCCCAAAATTTATAGTCGAGAAATTAGGATGTTATAATTTAAGCATTTAAGTCATCATACATAAAGTCCATAACCGCCGTTGATTTCGATATGAAAAGAAGCAAGATACTGTTGTCGATTATGTGAAAGAGAGTAGAGACGAAGACACTTAATCGGAAGTAAGAACTAGTGATTTTTATTTCATTCTTATCTTTACTTTTTTGTTTTTTTTTTTTTTCGATTTTTATTGATTTTTTTACAATACTTTTGTGTTCTCTTGTCTATTTTATTAATTTTGATATTTTAATTTTATTTACAAATTTTTACCAATTAGGACTAATGTCGACTAATATGATCGACTAGCACTAATCATAGATGGTCGTTGACCACCCAACATCTAAACAACATCTAAACATTGATTAATTGATCGTCTAGACTAATTATTACAACACTATTTAATTTAGAGTCTCAAATGGCTCCCTAATAGTGTCGTTTTAGCTTTAGCAGCTATCTTGCTAACCTCTCTAATTTCATGTTATACATATGCTATGAAAGTTTTAGATGATATTTGTTTTTTTTTTCTAAAGATCTGGTTGCTCTCTTTTGTCTGGTTGCTCTTTTTTGTCCACATCATTCAGACCACACACAAACATTAACATTCATACACTTTTAGTTTTTTAGAAGACTACCGACCTAAAAAGTTTTGTGCTTCCTATTTTTGGCATAAATATGGATAATATCTTCTAACTTCTTCAAACATCTTCTAAGTTAAAAAAAACACATTTTTTGAATGACTTTTTTTCTTCTTCTTCAAATGCGTCTTTTTTGTAACCTCTAATACTTTTTGTTTGAATTATTTTTGTAATATTTCCGCATTTTAACTACAATGAAATACGATAAATATCAAACATATCCGTTAATTCATACCATTTTACTTATTTTTTATATTACAACACACTATTTAAAAATGACATAATTATCCTATTGTTATTAAATAAAAAATAATTTAGACAACCACATTAACCATAATATATCATCACATAAAGAAATAAAATAAAATTTTGGTTAAGAAAAATGAAAATGTTATGCAATAATATATATAAAATTTGATCGAAGTTTCTTAACTATTTATTATAAAGTCAAAAGCTATTAGGTTCAAAAGATGATTTTTTATATAAAATATTGACAAACGACATAGGGTACATAGGATTCCAATATTGATTCTCTTAAATTAGCTTTTTTAGTAGATTGCATATGTTAAAAAAAAAAAAAAAAAAACAACCATTTTTTTATCGCACACTACAGACGTTTGATCCACCTCTTCTACTATAAAGGTTTACAGACGTGGTTCACAGACTGCAGACATTTTGTCTATGAATACAGAAACAACACATTAAACTCTCTGTATAATTTCATCTTTAATTTGTATATTTTTCTACATGTCAAATCCAAATACCAATATGTCATCCATGTATAATAATCAATAAGAGGATGATGTAAGAGGATTTAACTTCTTCATGTATCAAAAATGATCCATTTTACATCTTACATACCCATTCCTTTCATAAAATTGCAAACTTCAAGTATATGTGTCTTGTAGCTTGCTTTAACCTATACACAACTCTCTTCAACTTACATAGGGGTGAAAAATCATGGAGACATGTTGAGCTTTTAGCTGACAATACATGACGCAATAATTTTTATATACCACGACTAGACACCACATCTTGTTTTGCTTTTCTAACACGAAAATGACTAAATTAAAACAAGATAAAACAAAAAACACAAAGAAGATAAAATAAAAATAAGATTTTGGTTTATTTAATTAATTACTAATCATACAAAAAAACACAACAAATACAACAAATAAATTTTAATATCATGTCAATTTCGTCTTGGTTTTTCAACACAGAAGCAACATGACGTGCTTTTACACTTGACATGTACACAACATGAACCCAAATTCGAAATACAACTAAGTATTAGACCCTTCTATTACATGTGTCTAATTAGAAAAAACTAAATATAAAATTCTAAACATTTGAAAAGTTTGAATTTATAAGAAAAATGAGACAAATATTGAATTATAAAAATTAAAAAGTTCTTTTTCTCTAAATTCAAATAAATAATCTACTCTAATAAATGAAAGTTTTTTTGCCACTTGTCACACTCTCCTTCAATTTGCTAAATATCATTTTGTGGTTATTTTGAATTAATTTTTATTTCACTTGTCATTTTATGGTTTTTCTATTTTTTTAATTCCACTTAATATTTGAATGCAATAATAAACGCATATTAATTTTATTAATGAACTTTCCTTTTAGTTTCAACATTACTAAATTAAAGCTTCATATTTGTAGTTTTCTAACTTTTGTTGGCATGCCGTAAAATAGACATGGAGAGCCAAGGAGAATGGCAGCATGTTCGTCGGAAAAAATATGGTAGAGATTTCGATATCAATGGGAAGGCCGTCACGTTCTTCTTTCAAAAATTTCCGTCAAATTGGACTGAAGCAGCACTATGGAAGACCTTTAGGAGATATGGAGCCATTGTTGACGTCTACGTTGCCAAGAAGTTGAACCGGCATAAGATGAGGTTTGGTTTTGTTAGGTTCATCCGAATCACAGATGTGCACTCTTTTGAAAATAGGCTAAATGGGATCTACATTGGAGCACAAAAGGTCGATGTAAACGTCGCTAAATTTGGCAGGAAGGAGTTTATCAATAGAAGCAAAGAGCAAGGCCGGCAAAATGGGTCTGGACCTTCCCAAACGTCGTGCCTGAGGGGAAACAAAACTTTTGCTGATGTGGTTAAAGGGATAAACCACCCTGTGGAAGTTGCCAAGGAATCGGAGAACGCAAATGCAGATGAGGCGAGAAGTAAGATAAATGATGAGGTTCCAGGTATGAAAACAGTTAAGTTAATATCCTCTGCGGAGGTAAAAGAGTACATGCAGAATACTCTTCTGGTCGGAGAAGTGGAAAACTTTCAAGCTCTCATGAATGTGAAAGCTTTTCAAGATGTCGAGGGATGCCAATCGATTTTCATGCGATATCTGGGGGGACTAAAAATGAGTCTTGAGTTCGCTAATGTAAATGATAAAGACAATTTCCTAAGGAATGGTGAAGAAATTTGGAATCCATGGTTCAAAACTCTCAAACAGTGGAGGGTAGAGGACAACCATAATGAAAGGGTGGCATCCTTAATTATCCAGGGCGTACCCCAACATGCGTGGTGCGAAGAAGCTTTTAGTATCATCGCTGGTAACTGGGGAACTGTGGTTATTCCTGAAGAATGTGCCACAAACTCGCCTAATCTGGCTTTTGGTAGGGTTGGTATCTTTACGACGCATCCTGGTCTCATAAGCACCTCAATTAAAATCCTTGTGGACGGAATAAATTACGACATCAATATTATGGAAGATTTGTTTGAGTCTCTTAAGCTCAGCCCAGTTCTTGCGTCCAACGATTACTCCCCAAATTTGGCTTGGTGGAATGACGGTAACGGTGACTCCCTTATGCAATCCGATGATGGTGAATATTCAATGTCGGAGTTATCTCCAGCGGAATTTGTCAGAAGTTTCCGATCAGAAGTTAGAGAGACGCATGTCAGTATCTCATCGCCAATTCCTATGAAGTCACCTCGTCTTCCCAAAGCGGCTAATTTTTGGGCTGATAAGGAATCGCCATCTCAAAAGCAAAAAAGTCATAACTCTAGCCAGGCCCATTCCCCTATGGAGCATGAAAGAAGTTGGGCTAAATCCTCCCCAAGAAATAGGCGGTCCAATACGGGGCCCAATAAATCCATCGATCTAAACTGCGATCCATCTCACTCTGTTTCCCCAAGAAAATCAATGAATTCAGGTGAGGAAAATACGTCACCGCCAGAGCCCCCACATTCAGGTCACCAAAGTGTATCTCTCGCCTCCTTTTCCGCCCCTCTCGCTCCCCCCTCGCCACGGATAGATGGGTCTCATGTTAGGTCACCGGAGCTTCATGAATCCTCCCCCAAGGCAGCCTCGCAGTCTACATCTATGGAAGTTGCTAAGACAATTGATATTGGGGAAAAAGTGGGATTTCAGATAAGAGGCAGGGAAGAACAATTGAGGCAAATGATCAAGAACCGTGGAGTGATTATTGTGGACCAATGAATATTTTTTTCGAATAATATCTGTGGAATTGGGTGTGAGGTAAAAAGGGAATGGTTAAAAAATTCGCGCATTCAATATAAGTCGGTATTTGTCGGTTTGCAGGAAACGAAGTCGTCTGAGGTTAAGGGGGGTCTCGATAAGTACATCTGGGGTCCTGGAAATTTTCAAAGTGAAGTGGTAGATCCTAGGGGCCTCTCCGGTGGAATTGCTTCCCTTTGGGATCCTTCTATATTCAGTGCAGTGGAATCAATTAAAGGGGTTGGATTCCTATGTATTAAAGGTTTGTGGCTCAAAACCAAGAAGAATGTTTTTTTTGTAAATGTTTATGCTCCTCAAGATCCTTCCGAAAAAAAGTTACTGTGGAACAAGCTAATTGACCTTATTAATTCGGATCCAAATGATTGCTGGTTTGTCTTTGGAGACTTTAATGTTGTTCGTTCTCCTGAAGAGAGGCTGGGCTCTATATTCTGTCCACAAGGAGCTTATTTCTTCAATAAGTTTATTTTTTCAGCTGGGTTGCTGGAAATTAAAATGGGTGGCCATCGATACACATATATGAACTCTAAGGGGGATAAACACAGCAAGCTAGATAGGTATCTTGTTTCTCCAAATGTAGTAGACACTTGGCCGCATTTAAATGTCACCACTCTTCCCCGCGTTCATTCTGATCACTGTGCAATAATATTATCCTCAAATCAGATTGATTTTGGTCCCTATCCTTTCCGATTCTTTAACTCGTGGCTAAATGACCCAAAGCTGGAGTTGATTATTAAGAATGGATGGTCCCTGAGTTCCAATTCCGGTCATAATAAAATTGTCTCCCCAATTTCTGTGATTGCTTGCAAACTTAAGAATTTGAAGGAGCATATAAAAGCATGGAGGAAAGAGGTCGTTGAAGCTAATAAAAAGGAAATAGATGAGCTCACAAATACAATCAACTCCATCGACCTTCTTGCTGAATCTGGTCTTGTGCTTGAGGATTTATTAAAGAACAGGGAGTATGCACACCAAAAAAATAATGGAGGTTGAGTCTAGGCGCATTGAGGATCTTAGACAAAAATCCCGAATCCGATGGGCGTTAGAGGGTGATGAAAACAGCAAATTCTTTCATGGTGTTATAAACAATCATCTTAGGTCTCAAAGAATAAACGGTATCAAAGAGAATGGTTTCTGGATTAATGACCCGGTATTGATCAAGCAAATTGTAATTAGTCACTTCTTGAGGCGTTTTGCCGAGCCAATCCGAGATAGGCCGAGATTTTGCAGTTCCCTGTTCAGAAAATTGCCCCTATCCATGGCTAACTCTCTTGAGGCCCCTTTCTCCTTAGATGAGATTAAAGCAGCAATATGGGCATGTGGCTCGGATAGAGCCCCTGGACCTGATGGGTTCTCGTTTGCTTTATTGAAAAAGCATTGGGATGTGATTGGAAACGAATTCTATTTTGCAGTAAAACATTTTGAAGCCACTGGGGTCATCGACAAGGGCTGTAATGCCTCTTTCATCACCCTCATTCCAAAAGTCCAGACCCAATATCGATGTGTGATTTCAGGCCCATTAGCTTAATTGGATGTCTATATAAAACCATTTCAAAGATCCTTGCGGAAAGAATTAAGATGGTGATTCATTTGGTAGTTAGTCCAGTGCAGACGGCTTTTATTAAGAGTAGATTCATCCTGGATGGTCCTCTAATCCTAAATGAAGTTATCAGTTGGTTGAAAAAGAATAAGAAGGTAGCTTTTGCATTCAAAGTGGACTTCGAGAAAGCTTTCGACTGCCTCAGCTGGGAGTACCTGGATTCGATTTTGGAGCAAATGGAATTCGGGGGCAAATGGCGGTCTTGGATCCATGGTTGTCTTTCTTCTGCTAGAGTTTCGGTTCTAATAAACGGGTCGGCTACTTCTGAATTTTGTATGGAGCGTGGTATCAGGCAAGGTGACCCTCTATCTCCGTTCCTTTTCATCATCGCGGCTGAAGGGTTAAACATCGCCTTGGAAATGGCAAAACAATTTGGGGTTTTTACCGGTATCCAGCTGCCTAGACAAGGTCCATCCATCTCTCATCTCCAATATGCTGATGATGCTATTTTTTTGGGCTCTTGGTCTATTGAAAATGTTAAAAATCTGATCAAAATCCTTAGGTGTTTTGAGCTATCATCAGGTCTCAAGGTAAATATGTCCAAAAGTAAGATATTCGGCATTGGTGTTCCAAACTGTGAATTAGAATTATTGGCCCGATATAGTAATTGTTCCATTGGATCCTTTCCCTTCAATTATCTTGGCCTGCCGGTTGGTGCATCTATGGCTAGGGTGGCACACTGGACCCCTTTAATCGAGAAATTTCAAGCGAGGCTATCTAAATGGAAGGCCAACAATCTATCTTTTGGTGGGCGCTTAACTCTATGTAAAGTTGTGTTGAGTAGTCTTAGCTCCTACTATTTTTCTATTTATAAAGCTCCGGTAAAAGTTATAAAACCCTCGAAAAGATAAGGATGCGATTCTTTTGGGGAGGGGATGAAACTACAAAGAAAATGGCTTGGATTTCTTGGGACAAAATCCTCGCTGGTAAAGATTGTGGCGGGCTTGGAATCGGCATTTTAAAGGCTCAAAATTTAGCTCTGTTGGGGAAGTGGTGGTGGAGATTCAGGAACTATCCAGAGAGTTCGTGGGTGGAGGTAATAAAATCTATCTATGGAGTTGATGGGGGTTTTGATAGGCCTTCAGTTGCGAAGAGGAAAAGCGGCTGTTGGGGCACCATTGCAAATATTCCAAAAATCCTTGAGAAGGACGGTGTATCATTTTCAAATCATTTTCTCCATTCTCTGAATTCTAATGGGTCTCTCAGATGGTCATGGTCTCTCGAACCCTCTGGAGTTTTTTCGGTCAGGTCATTTAGATGCCACATTGACAAACTCACTCTTCCAGATAGCGCTAGTATTTGGTCCTGGAATCCGCTGACCCCAGGAAAGATAAATATTCTTGCATGGCGTATCTGTCACGGGAAGCTCCCCAATATGGTCAACTTATTAAGATTCGGTATATGCTCTTCAAATCTATGCAGGATCTGCCATGGAGATCCGGAATCTGAACAACATATTTTTTTAGAGTGCCCGGTGTCGAGGGAGGTTTGGCAGCTTATATGCAATTGGTGGCGGTTATTTGATTTCCCTCTTGTCTCAATCCGTGATCTGATGCATAGTAAACGGAATGTAGCGGGGCATCAAAGGCTAGCTTGTATCCATGAAGCTATAATGCTAACATATATCTGGGTGATCTGGAAATACCGGAATGTAAGGGCTCATTCGCATGCTCCAATTCAAAAATCGATACCGGCGTTGGCTTATGAAGTGAAATCACTCTCGAATTTTTGGATCAATGCTAGAAAGAAGAAAGGTCAGACCCTGAGGTGGTATGAATGGTGTAGTGATCCGATTCTAGAATGCTATAGCAGGCTATAAACTGTGGTTTTTATGTTTTGTTTTCGTTAATGTTTTGTATTTCTAGCCTCTGGCTAGTTTATTTTTAATATATATTTGCCTGTTGTTCAAAAAAAAAATTAAAGCTTCATTAATTTCCTTTATTTATTTAAAGTTTTATAATTTCATTTATTTCCTTTATTGAATTATAAAAATTAAAGAGTTTTTTTTTCTCTAAATTTGAATAAATAATTTAGATAAAGAAATAAAGGAAATTAATGAAGCTTTAATTTAGTAATTTTGAAATTAAAAGGAAAGTTCATTAAGAAAATTAATATGCATTTATTATTACATTCAAATAAAGTGTGAAATTAATAAAATAGAAAAACCAAAAAATAACATGTGAAATAAAAATTAATTCAAAATAACCACAAAATGACATTTGGCAAATTGAAAAGGAGACTGTGATAACTGGCAAAAAAAATATTCATTTATTAGAATAGATTTATCCCAAATTCATTTTGTATCATGTATCTTTGACATAGATTGCCACCCCTAAACTTGCACACCGTATTTTCTTTACCGATCAACTAAAAATCTTCTAGTTGTGCCACATAGATATACTAATCAAATTCTTCATACAAAAAATTGTCTTCACATCTAGTTGATAAGATGTAAATTTTCTATTGTTTTAAATACACAGTACCAATGCGATTTTATTATTTTTACAACTTGTGAGAATATCTACTTGTAGTCTACTCCCATATTCTATTAAAGCCAATTTTATCTTTGACATTGAATACCCAATTGTTATGTAATGCTTTCTATTGTATGGAAGAAAGGGAAGGAAAAATGCTAGTTTCTTTATGGAAGAAAGGGAAGGAAAAATGCTAGTTTCTTTATTGTCATCGGAAACAAAGAAATTACAATACTTAATGGAAAAATATGAAACCGAAAGAAACCTAAATGGGAGGAACACGACCGCATGACTTCTCTAATTGCTAAAAGTAAAGAAACATGTCGGTTATTAGTTTGAATTAGTCAACTAACACTCCTTTATTTAAAGTTTCATACATTTCAGTTAAAGAACTTATATGTTGGCTTCAGGGTGATTTAGTTTATATATATATATATATATATATATATATATATATATATATATATATATATAATATATATATATATATATATATATATATATATATATATATATATATATATATACTAGTAATGTGAATAGGCTGAGCACGACCCACGTACAGCGTAAGGTTTTATTTAAAGTGGATATCTTAGGAAATATTCATTGAAAGTAAATTGCTATTATGGGTAAGAAAGTTAAAGTTTCTTGCTATAAGAGGTAAAAACCAAAGTATAAATGAATAAAGACTAAAAATGCTAATGCCCTCTTTCCATCCGACTGGTATTTGAGCCTTGGGACCTGCCAAAACTTGAAAATGATAAAACAATACAATCGTATATCAATAAATAACCGATAGAAAATGAACTGTATTCTTTTTCTGATGATCATCCAGGAGAGACCTTCACTATATGCTCATATATTCTATTATCTTTAACAATGGGGTAGCA